TAAGTGCTCGGCTGCTAACCAAAGGTTGCAGTTCTGTGGAAGAAAGACCTGGTGACCTGACCCATAAAGACTAGAGTCAAGAAAACCCCATGGGGCAATTCTACTCTATTACATGGGATTGCCATAAGTCAGAATCGACTTGTCGGCACCTAACAATGACAAAAATTAAAAGACAAAGGAACTTACATCAAATTGGTAATAAAACTTATAGAAAAATATTACTCAAGTAATTTGGACACCTGACTGTACATTCATAGCGGTAAGATCTAAGAAAAAAAATAATGCAAATAATGTTGACATTTCCTTAGCAGGCTTGTGGTTGGTAGTTCTATGATACTGTAATCCTGAAGCCATGTTGCGAGAATGATTTAAAAGTATTACTGTTAACGTGATTGTGTAACTGTGGTAGAGCTAAGTGTAAACAGACATGTTTATAAATGTACATAGTTATCCTCTCTACCCAGAACTATTTGTGTTGTTTTGAAAGAAAATGTAGATGTTGTTTAACCTTAAAAGAGGTAGTGTGAGTGTAACTCATGAGGATATTTAACTAGCTTAAAACTCCTAGTATAGAAAATATGGCTAAAAGAACATAAATCTAAAAAAGGACGAAAGCTCGTGGCCAGCAGACTATTTCCTGATAAGGCAAGCCAAATGCCTGGTGTTAATATAACATGCACATACTTCTACTTCAGAGCACTGGGACAAGTGGGATGCTGTTTCCTTTGAGCCAAGGCCTGCTGTCAGTATCAGGTTTTCCCAATGGAGAGAACCTGGCGGGACTCTCAGCACACACCTAACTTGCATTTATGGACTTTTATCTTTCTACTTAGAAATTACTCGATTATCACCAGCTCACTCTTCAAATTAAAAATTTATATTTTTGCTATTTTAGCTAGAATAACCTAACAAACCCTAGTTTAAACAAATATACCAAATTAAGAAACATGATTAGGTGGCTGGATATTAGAAAAGTCAGTGACTTTTCTTTATTGGAATAAGTAGGTAGATTCTGAAATGAGAAGAAAACTTTTCTATTGACACTAGTCACCAGAACACCCCATTTTTGTAACATAAATGTTTCTGATTATAAAAACCAAAAACCAAACTCAGTGCCACTGAGTTGATTCTGACTCAAAGCAACCCCTCCTTGGGTTTCCAAGGCAGTATCCGTAGGGAAGTAGATTGCCCAGTCTTCCTTTCAAAGAGTGACTGGTGGGTTTGGACCACCAGCCTTTGGTTAGCAAATGCCTTAGGCACTATACAAGTACACGTCAGATTGTAACACTACCTCAGAGAGGAGATAGGAGCCTTCTGGTGACAAAGGAAATTAAATCATAAAGCAAAAGAACCTATAAAACAAGGGGTCCTTAAAGTGGTATTTACCATGTTGTGTGTGAGAGCTCTAGTGGCATAGTGCCCAAGGCATTTGATTGCTAACCAGAAGACTGGTGGTTCAAACCCACCAGCCACTCCTCAGAAGGAAGGTTGGGCAATCTATTTCCATAGTGATACTGCCTTGGAAACCCAATGAGGGGTCACTGTGAGTTGGATCCAACTGGACGGCAGTGAGTTTGGTTTTTGGTGTGTATGCATATATACGTATACACATATGTGTATATATGTGGGTGGGTGTGCATATGCATATATAGATATCCCTATCCATAAAGAAATATATGAAAAAAAGCTCACTAAAACGCTAATATTTACGTAAGAGTAGAGTAGCTTTTCAAGTGACGGGCTTTTTTTTCTTCCTTATGTACATGAACATCAACGTAATTTAATCGAACTCAATGTACAGAGTTCCTACAAATAAAAACATGCACAACATATGTTCATTTGCAAGAAAAAGGAAAATTCAATTCAAACATTTAAACAAAAAAAGAATTTTATTGGCTCACAAAGTGGAATGTCCAGAAATAGGCATGACTGCAGTTCTGATTTGACCCAGAGGTTTCAGACTGCATCAGGGCTCCAGCCCTCTCATTTTCTTGGTGCTACCATCCATCTGGATCTCTGTATTAGGAAAATTCATTGGAGGAAGTTTAAACTTGAATCCTCACACCGTTATTATCTCCAAGGTGTCTTCTTCAGCAGCTCCTGATGAATCCTCAGCAAACATCTCCTTGTATCTCAGTAGCCAGATCTGGGCCCAAAAGTCTATCCTTGAACCATTAACTACAGCCACAGGCAGGGAGGGCAATAGCTAAAGGTGACCAGGCCACCCCTAGAGCTGAGGGTGTGACAATCCCACCCAAACCATGTGTAGGGGCACAGTTATCCAAAGAGAAAGTGGGTGGTGTTTTTTGGGAGCAAGGAAGTAAAGTAATACAAACATCCAATAAACATATTAAAGTGTTTAATCTCATTAGTAATCAAAGAAATAACAAAATTACATAATTTGTTACTATCAGGTTAAAAAAGAAGAAAAAAGAAATATCCTGTCAGTGTGTGTTTGTGTGTATGAAACAGTGTTAACCAAAAGGCTGTTTTTAAATGATTTTTGTAATCAGAAACATTACTGATTCCTAAATATTAAACTAGCAATAGTACAATTTAAAACCCTATAATGTAACAGAAGCTGACTTTATCTTTTCCAATCTGATAGGTGCTCCCATTTTGACGGGTAAAAAAAAGATTTCTAGGTAAATTTCTATTTCATAGCCCCAAGTCATGACTCAGATCATGGTACACCTCTACCTATCCTCTTCTCAAGAACTCCAGACAAAAGCTACACTGAAGTCTCTAGTTGATTATCTTCAGCGGAGTTGGGTTAATTAACCAGTAAAGTATCCTCTGAAAACAGATTAAATGCTTGTACCCCTATATCTAACTATGGAAAATACATACAGGACAAAAAACTTCTTAAGCACTACTGTAAAACGGGCCCCAAATATAATGCTTCAATATTGAGAAGGCCTACACTCTATAGTAAGCAGCTCTGGTGGTGTAGTGATTAAGGCACTTAGCTGCTAACCAAAAGGCTGTCGGTTCAAACTCACCAGTGGCTCTGCAGAAGAAATATGGGGCAATCTGCTTCCAGTAAGATTTACAGCCTTGGAAACCCAACGGGGATCACTTTGAGTTGGAATTGACTTACTTGATGGCAATGAGTTTTGACAGTCGGTAGTACCTGAAAGATTATCTCAGTCCACCAGAAAATCAGTTAGGAAAAATACACTCCAAACTCTATTTAAAAGAGATTATGGATATAAGCTGTGCCATCCCACAGTAAGCTAAGTACTCGTGTAAGAAGGATCCTTTTATGAGCTACGGACCAGTACCACACTTAGCACAGAATCATGCGTATTTCTTGAGTGTGCAAACAACAATGAATCAAAATTAAGTCCAATTCCAGTGCACGCAATTAGAAGCTCAATACCAAATTTAAGTTTGTAGACAGCAATCAACTTGAAACGAAACTACCCCTCCCCTCAAATTTCAATTTCAAGCAGATTGTTCCCAGGCTTGAATTCTTTGTTTCTTCAATTACAAATAGAAAGTTAAGGTGCCATAATTCCTCTGATTTGGTACATTTTCTAAGTCAGAGATTTTTATTGCCCTCCTCAGAAGGTAAAAGGACTAAGAGACCACCTCCCTCACTTTCAGGTCAAATGACATACAGGGTCGTTTTACATCAATAGGACTTTCTCTATAACCAATAGATCTGAGGTATTTCTATTACATGTAACAGAACAGTGATAAAGAAACAAGAACTACCTTAAACCTGCTGGTTTTCAAAGTAGTAACTGGTCACGCTAAAGGGAATGGTGGTTCAAGAGTTATGGGCTCACGAGTAAAAATGTCTTGACTGGACTCCAGCTCCATCACTGATTTGCTAAGTGGTCTCTGGGAAGCTATCTTATGTATCTAGGTTTCAGTATCCTCATCTTTAAGATGGATATAAGAGTACCAATCATCTTAAGATTGCTGTGAAGTGTAATAAAATAATCCAGCCCTTACAACAGCAGCTGGCACCAAAGAAACTTTTAATACATGTTAACTATTACTTGTAACATGAATTTAATACAATTAATTCTTTCTTTAGGTCTATGTCAATACTCCTAGAATTCAAAACACTAGATTCTAACTGTTCTAATTTATACCACCTGCAAAAGGCACTTTAAGACTATTTCAAATATCTGTGAAAAGAAGAATAATGTTAGGTTTTATAACTACCTCACTTATGAAACCTCCACTATGAAATAATGTTTGCAACAAAATAGGAAACTGAAAGCCATAAAACATAATAAAATATGAATAGCATTGTATGCAGGTGTTCCTTACCTGATGAGGAGAAGAAATGTATAGTACTCCCTACAGAAATGTCTAGGGAAAGTAGGCTACTATATTTATTCAAAAACTATAAAAGGTTACAATTTCAATCTATCAAACACAGTTAGTTTTTTCAGTTATATTCAAGTTTTTCATATGTATTAAAATTCTGACCAAACCAAGACAACAATTCAACGCATAGAAAGATAATTTTAGCTCAAGGTGCCAGCAGCAATACACAGAAAAGTGCCAACAGACTTCACATGAATATACAAATCTGAAGTTTTAATGTAACACTAACAAACAATAAGTGCGTTGTTAGCTACCTTTCTCCAACATCATAGTAGTTAAATATATTAGTAAAAACATACAGAATGTATAAAACCTTTAATCACATGTAATGTAGTCTAACAAATGTTACCAGTAGAATGTGAGGGTTTCATATGTGAAGATGTACATTTCAGAAAGAACCCAACTTGAAATAAATCCAGTAACACACTTGTTGCAAAGGTGACCCACAAAAATGTGTATCAGTTGCAACTGTATATAAGAAAACAAGCTGCTTAGAAATCAGTATCAGAAGCTAACTGAGGGCTATTATAGTGACCAGCCTTAAAGGGCAAACAATTTATTTTGGTGGTTAAAATATCAGAGATCAATGTAATTAAATAACATGAGTGAAAAAAAATATACAATGTACAATAGCAAGAAGTTAGAAAACTGAATACTGTGGAAAAGATTTATTAGTCTGTACAAGTTGGTTTTGGTAATAAGTTATTGGCTACTTGTTACAGTAAATTATCAAGATTTTCATTGCAACAGTATTTTCCCACACGTACCAGAATCTGAAAGCCTTTCTCAAGTGGTCTTTTAGTGTTCTTTTTTTTTTCCCCTCCCCTCCCACCCATCAAAACACAGACAGATATAGGTTTCTGAATACCAACTAGCCATTTACGGAAGTCATAAGATACAGATATTCATAAACATTATACAAGTTACAACTGAGGTACTTGGACAAATACTACCAACATTTATGAAAAAAGGGAGTTGATTTTAAAAGTCATATATATAGTTCACATGAGTTACAATAAACATACTATTCATGTCCTTCTGAAACCAAAAGGGGGGAAAATCTTGCTGTCACTCTGCCAACTGTCACATAACTAAAAATGCTGCACAACAGAGCCATGAATCCAATGTACATACCACAGAATTAAAACTCTAACAACTGAGTTACTAATTGAAGTAAATGAAAAAGACAGACCAAACTTCTTTAACACATCAATGCTAGTTTAGAAGCATCACTGGATCAAATAGAGATTTAATTATAAATTGGCCTGGGCTACTTTCTGTAATGAGAATTTTTCTTAATACTAAAAGAGAATCTGTCAGCAAACATCCTAGAAAAGCTGTGGAATCATGCTCATTTGTTATTCCTGAAAGGAAATTTGCCAGGTTTGATGATGTATGTATAACACCCAGTGTTTTCAAGAGTTCTAGATATCAAGTAATTCAATTATCAGTAAGAGTATTTAAGCAAAAAGGAGATCAAAAGCAGATCTTATATCAACATATACTAAATCAGATGGATTATTTTTTTAAAATTACATGATAAATGCAAATCATAAAATCAAATGTACTTATAAAGGTACACTTATTTTATGTTACATAAAAAAACGGTAGACTGCAAACTGGGCATGCGTACCATAACGTGTTACCTGGGAAAGCCAATGAGTGGGATTTCCTGCAAATATTTACTGTCATGATACAAAACAAATATGTGCAAACTGCAAGGTCCCTAAAATAGCAGTTAAAGAGTTTATATACAGAAAGATGTCACTATCTGATCAAATATGCAAGAGATGGAATTTCCCAGAGTTTATAACACAGAACAATAACCACCACAAGCCCCTCCTCCGTGGCCTTCTTCCCTGTGTGACAGTTTTACTCCTTTATTCTGGTTCTCACTTTCCCACAGTCCAGGCGTCTGAATGATCTTTTCAACAAGTTCCTCAAAGGCACATTGTACACCATCACAGGTTTTTGCACTCGCCTCTGAAATTCAAAGAAAAATGACATGGTGTATTCTTTCCCAGTCGCATATTCCTGTTTTTCCGGGGAATTATTATGGTATAAACATAACAAGAGCCAAACAACATATTAAATGCCAACTCAACAAATTCTCTCCAAAGGTTTAATATAAATAAATTTTCCCCAACTCTCAAATTAAAGCTATTTAAATTATATCCTTAGAATACTGATACATAAGCCCAATTTTTAAATTATAGAATTATGTAAAGTCTTATTCAAGTATTATGCCAAAGTTTTCTTAATTTTCAGTTAATTCTTAAAACTAGCCCCTGAAACAGGTATTACTGCCATTTTAGAATGAGGAAATTGAGGATTCAAGTTAAACTACTTATCTAGTTATTCTGGACCTGCTGCAAAGTGGCAGGATACGTGGCTGGAGAAAGTAACTCAAAACCACAAGACAGGTCCCATTTTAAATTTATGCTGATGAAACTCAGGTGGACACAGAGCATTACATTTAGCTAGTGAATTACTTTTCTCCCACTGCCTGAGATGACTATTTTATTCCTTCATCTCAAAATCCCTTCATCTCAGTTGATGATCCTAGTTTTAAATTAAGAAAAACAGAAGCAATCTGGCAAACTATCTAATCATCCCAGTAACGAATTTTCCAGTTTATCTGCATGTGTAGCCTTGTGCTTTTCCATCCTCCTGGCACAATGCATGAAAGAAACGTCCTTGCTGCTAGAGTTAAAATACTTGGCTGCTAACTGAAAGGTTAGTGGTTCCAACTCACCAGCCACTCCTCAGGAGAAAGATGTGGCAGTCTGTTTCCATAAAGATTGCAGCCTTAGAAACCCCATGGGGCAGTTCAACTCTGTCCTATAGGGTCACTATGAGTTGGAATCAATTTGATGGCAACAGGTTCCTTCTCTATTTCCTTGGAGCCTCATCCCTTCTCATTTACTTAGTGATCATGCTTCCTCTCTACTGGGTTGATACCAATCAGCCTAAAAACCTGTTAAAATTATTTTCCATCCTACTAAAAAAATACAAAACAAAACCCAAAAATGTGCCTTCCAGTCCACACACGCTTCTAGTAGCCTTTATTCTCCTTCAAAGCAAAATTCCTCTAGAGGGTTATCTATGTAGGGTGTTTCCACTTTCTTATCTCACATTCTTTCTAAGTAAGCACTTGTTGTCACTATTCTACTGAAACCATTCTTTTCAAGACCACCAACATGTACTATATCTCGTCAAATCCAATGCCTTCACCTTTTGGACATCTTGTAGCATTTAATATCATCAATGGCTTCCTCTTTCTTTAAATACTTTGCTCGCTTGACTTTCATGACACAAACACTCCTGGTAATGTCCCTATATCTCTGGCATATCATTTACAGTCTTATATGCTGGCATTTATATAGACTTTCTGCTGGTTTCTGTCTACACTCTTTCCTGAAGTGACTGCTCCAATCTCATAACCTTAAACATCACCTAAATGCCAATGACCAACATGTCCACTAGATATCTGGAAGGAATCTCACTCTTATCTCTAGACAGACTTCTTAATTTCTGACTCTCCTACCCAAATCTGCTCTTACCTCAGTCTTCCTCATTCCAGCTAATGGCATTATGTGGTTTCGCTTATGCCCCAAACCCTGTTTATCTCATTTATCTTCTTTTTCTTTCTTATATTCCACACCCAACCTACCAACCTACTCTTGTCAGCTTTACCTTCAAAGTAACTCCCAGACCAGGTAACTTTCTACCACCTACTACTGCTATCCCAGAGGCTACCAATATCATTCATCTGGACCAATACAAGGGAATAACTAGCTCTTGCTTTCTCTTCTCATAGCCCATTCTCTACACAAATGGATCTTTTCAAAGACTATCAGAGTACATCGCTACTCCCCTGCTTTTAACCATACATAGACTAAAATCCATCTCTTTACCCTACCTCCTTTACTAATCTCATTTCCCACTATTACCATCCTTCCCCCAACAATATCTTGCTGCCGCCCACAAGTTTTCATCCTGTTCTTTAAATACACTAAGCTGGTTCCTACTTTAGGAAATATTTGCTGTTTTCTTGGCCTGAGATGATCTTCCTCTGTATCTTCACAACGTAAATTCCTGATAAAATGGTTATTACCTCAAAGAACTTTGCCTAATTACATTCCACTAGTGGTCACTCTCTCCCCTTACAATTTTTTTTTTCCTTTCCTAGCACTACTTACACATTTAAGTCTGTTTCTTCTACTACACTATAACCGCCACAAGGGCAAGGACTTTGTCCATTTTGTTCATTGTTATACCCTCAGTGTTCAATAAATATTTATTGAATAAGCTAATGGATAAAATTAAGGACACCCAGCAAATAAGCAGTAGAGGTGAGACTCAAATTCCTTCCTGAAAATCCTTACCCTGCTTCTATCTATATATGATGTTCTCCCGACTCCATTTATTGATTTCTAGCAGACTCTAACACAGAATAACTATATTGGTAATTCTGAAAGCTGGTGTCATATCAGAATCAGCTAGGGTGCTTTTATAAACTGCCTTTCAGGCTCTGTTTCAGATCTCCAATAAGGCCCACCAAACAAAAACCCACTACTGCAAGTCAATTCTTATTCTTATAGGACAGAGTAGAAGAACTGCCCCATTGGGTTGCCAGGGCTGTAAACCTTTATGGGAACAGGCTACCACGTTTCTCCGGCAGAGCAGCTGGTGAGTTCAGACCACTGATCTTTCTTTCAGTTAGCAGTAGAACTTTAACCACTGTACAGGACTCCCTTAAGGTCCAGGGGCTTATAATTTCTAAAACCTTCTCCAGGTGATTCTGCTATCATTAGTCCACTGTTCTAGACCAAAAGCCCAAAACCAAACCCACTGCCATCAAATGGTTTCCAACTCATAGTGACCCTAAAGGACAGAGTAAAACTGCCCCATAGGTTTCCAAGCCTGTAAGTCTTTATGGAAGAAGACTGGCACATCTTTCTCCTAGAATGGATGGTGGGTTTCAACTGCAGACCATTTGGTTGGCAGTCAAGTACTTTAACCACTGCACCACTAGGGCTCACTCTGTTCTAGACTGGGGGTTGGCAAACTTAGTCTGTAAAGGGTCAGATAGTAAATATTTCAGGTGTTACAGACCATGGTTACAACTCTTGAACTCTACCACTGTTGCACAAAAGCAACCAGAGACAAATAAGCATGGCTGTGCTCCAATAAAAAGTTTATTTAGAAAAACAGGCAGCAGGGCCAGATTTGGCTCATACCTTAGAGAAGCGCTGTTCTACAGTGCTTCTGAAACGTTAATGTGCATACTAATTGCATGAAGATCTTGTTAAAAGTAGGTTCTAATTCTGAATATCTGGGGAAGTGCCTGCCTAAGGTTAAATATTTCTTAATGTGGATGCTACTAGCACATGGACCAACAAAGCATAACTTTAGCACTGAATGACTGTACAGAATCTACCTGTGCCAGGCTTTTAATGAATGAATGCTGTTAAATTCTAAGAGTCATGACTTGACTGTGTTCTATCTGACTTCACATAATGTAACCCTTCATTATTTTCACAGAATAGAAAATAAAGAATCTGATTCTATAACGAGATTTTATAGATTATATAGCAGAAGACAACTATGACCCAAACAAACATATCTTATGTTCATAAAGAGAGAAATTTAGCAGAAAATCCATTAAAAAATTCCTCATTAATAAGGAAAGGATAGATCTCCACACACATACCTATAAATAACATAGAATGCTTTCGTGCAAATTTCAGGCCTTCATTTCTATCAACTTCACGGTTTTCCTAAAAGATAAAAGCAAAGATTAAGAAAAGCTACTAAAATACTGGGCCAAAATCCCAAGTGTCTGCCTTCTTACCTTATCAATTTTGTTTCCAACCAGCATGTTTACTATGTCATTTCTCGTGCAGTATGTTTCCAATTCATTTAACCAGTTATCCAGTTTAAGAAAGGTATCTCTTCTTGTGACATCATAAACTGAAATGAAAGGTAACAGTCATTTATTAAGCATTAAAAATAAGAAGAAATGATACTAAATTTCTGATGTGTACCTGTTGTTGCTGTTATGTGCCATCGAGTTGGACCCAACTCACAGTGACTTGGGTTTCAGAGGCAGTATCACTACGGAAGTAGATTGCCCCATCTTCCTTGTGAGGAGGAGCTGGTGGATTTGAACCGCCAGCCTTCTGGTTAGCAGTCAAGTGCCTTAGGCACTATGCTACCAGAGCTCCCAATGTGTACCTAGGAGCTAACATTACTATATAGGCATTCTGTATTTTTGCTATGCTTTTAATGCTTAACAATCAATGTCTATTTATCCAAATGTAAAAAACAAGTATATTAAACAAAAACATACACACATATTGTTGTTGTTGTTGTTAAGTGCCATCGAGTCAGACCCGACTCACAGCGACCCCTCCTTGGGTTTCTGAGGCAGTATCACTATGGAAGTAGATTGCCTAACCTTCCTTCTGAAGAGTGGCTGCTGGTTTTGAACCGCCAGCCTTCTGGTTAGCAGTCAAATGCCTTAGGCACTACGCTACCAGAATTCCAAAAAACACACACACATACACTTCAATTTTATTGCTATTATGATAGAAATGAATATAATATATATTCTGTGTGATAACTAAAAACTAAATTAAGCAAAATAACAGCTGTTATCATTCATAATAAAATAATTTTGTACAGAAAATTTAAAAAGTATTTAGATTTATATCTGAGGCAAAATAACAAAGCATTTTTATATGAATTTAAACATCTATGACCCTGTTAGTTTGTTTTTTCTAAGGACCAGAGTTTTCTACCTTGAAAAGTACAGATGGGATCTTGATTGTCTTCCTCTGTTATCACTTTCATCTTATATCATCATGGATACCAGTTTTTATCTAAACTGTTTTCTAAACTTAGGAGGTAGTAAACAAAAATGGTAAGAGTCACTGTCAAGTTAATAGAAATGAAATCAAAGCCTCATATATAAATCATGATATAAAAAAGAAATTCTCCTTTCCATCAATCAATCTTCATTTTAAACAGGTATTAGGAACAGCAATTTTCAATAAATGACACTAAGAATCCACATCTGGTCTTAAAATGCTTATTATAAATCAATAATGTTAAGTGCTTTGTGTAATTTTTCAGGTCTGATAAGACAAATTCTAGTTATACAGTCTTCTTATAAACTGCAACAAACATTAATAAGCTTATCACCAAAAACCAGACAAGCCGACTATATGTGGATTAAACCTCCGTATGTCCTCATCAACATGTGCTTTTAAATCAAGTAAGTTTGACCTTTATTTTTTAATTACTAGGCAAATGACTGAAAATAAGTCTTAATACTAACATTAAATTAATATAATTAAGTTATGTAACAGTAGCCCTAAAAAAAAAAAAAAAGAACAAAAACTTATTGGCCCTTATAGAATATAAAAATTACAAATTTCTATAATCTATAATGGGAGCTCTGGTACTAATCAGAAGGCTGGCGGTTCAAACCCACCAGTCACTCCTCGGAAGGAAGATGGAGCAATCTACTTCCGTAGTGGTACTGCCTTGGAAACCTAAGGAGGGGTCGCTATGAGTTGGGTCTGACTCGACGGCACCTAACAACCAACAACATAATCTATAATGATGATATTTTTAAAACAGTATATTAAAATAAATACTTACCTAATATCACACCCTGTGCACCTCTATAATAGCTGGGAGTTAATGTTCTAAACCTCTCTTGACCAGCAGTGTCCTAAAAGTGACAATCATTATTAAATAAAGCATAGTATATATAAGTGAATTTCAATATACTTATATAAAAGTTAAAAGTCAAACAACACTATTAAAAGCAGTATCAATGCACAAGCTCATTTGAAACCTGGAATTTAATTAATAAGTTGTGCTCTTTTACCGACAAGTATTGCATAAAACAAAATTGATAAATACTAATTTCTAAAAAAAGACATTTCAATAAAAGTTTTCTACTATTTTTCATTTTGATAGCGTAGCAGTAACTTTTTACTGTGATTTGGGTGGAAGTTTACAGAGCGAATTTGTTTTCCATTCGATAATTCATAAACTTTGTTTTGTGACACTGACTGCAGTACCCTCATTGTAACAGTACCCTTCCCACATCCTCCCTGTGTTCCCTGTTTCCATTTGTAGCACTTCTTACCCATTTCAGCCTCCTGAGCTTTATCCCTAGGCAAATGCTGCCCTTTTCATCTCCTTTGGTTGGTTTTTTTAAGGAGTGCATACCTCCCTGGTCCTGACTATTGTTTGGCTGAAAGTTGCGAGCCATGGGAGTGAGTGCAGTTCCAGGCCACAACAGTCTCAGGAGTCCCACCAGTCCCTATCAGACCAGAAAGCCTGTTCTTTTATTATTATTTTGAGTTTGTTCCACATTTTTCTCCCACTCTATCCACCTCCTGTTATGATCCCTTTCAGGGTGGTTGGTATTGGTAGCCAGGCACCATCTAGTTCTTTGGGACTCATGGTGATGGAAGTTGGGGTTTGTGTGGTCCATTACTCTTTCAGACTGTTTCCTTGTATCTTTGATTTTCTTCACTCTTATTTGCTCTGGATGGGGTGAGACCAATAGTTGGACCATAGCTGGCCGTTCACAAGCTTTTTAATACCTCAGTCGTTACTCACCAAAGTAGGATACAGAACACTGTCTTTTTGGGCTATGTTATGCCAATTGACCTTGGTGTCCCGGGAGAACATGGTCCTGAGCCCCCAGGCCTAGTGACTCATTTTCTCAAGGTGTTTGGTTATAGCTGAGAAGTTTTCATCTACTCTCTGTTGTTGTTGTTATGTGCCATCGAGTTGAACCTGACTCATAGCGACCACTCCTCGGGTTTCCGAGGAGGTATCACTATGGAAGTAGATTGCCCAACCTTCCTTCTGAGGAGTGGCTGGTGGGTTTGAACTGCCAGCCTTCTGGTTAGCAGTCAAGTGCCTTAGACAGTGGCAACAGTAATCTATGAGTAGATACATAGACACACACAAGCTGAATAAGTGTAGGAAGATGACTGGTACTACACCCATAGATAAGCTTGCATAAATAAAGAATATCTGCTACAATTCCTTGCCTCCAGCTTCTCACCAAAATCTGCACAATACAGAACATTTCTTCCTCCTGGTCCCACCAAGCTGAAGTAATGAAGTAACAAAATTAAAATTAAATTTTCTAAACAGATAAATTTATGAGTGATAAACAAAATGACTTCATTTTACAAAAATCTCTGTCTCAAAGTAACTAGGCTTTGATATTTAAAATTATTCAATTAGTATAGATATTTTAAAAAGGACCTCTGTTGGCATAGTGGGTATGGCATTTGGATGCTAACCAGAAAGTGGGCAGTTCTAATCCACTAGCTGCTCCATGAGAGGAAGATGAGGCAATCCACTTCCATAAAGATTTAAAGCCTTGGAAACCCAGTGGGGGTTGCTATGAGTTGGAATCGACTTCATGGTACTGGGTTTACTTTGGTTTTTTTAAATAGATATTTTACTCAACTTTTCAAGAATAATAATAGAAATTAAAGCCTGCAAAAGGTAAAGTGGACGTGCTTCTAAAGTAGACTGTAATTGTGGCAACATGGTACAGACGACACTCCTCAGGTTGTGCCAATGGTTAACACGCTCAGCTGCTAATTGGAAGGCTGGAGGTTTAAGTCTATACAGAGGCACCTTGGAAGAAAGGACTGGTGATCTACTTCGAGAAAAACCAACCACTGAAAACCCCATGGAGCATAGTTCCACTTGGGCACATGTGGGGTTTCCATGACTCAGAATCACCTCAGTGGCAATTTTTCCCCCCTTTTTCTTTTTTAAGCATTGAATACTAACTCTGAGTGTTACAGACCTATCCATCTTTTGAAAAAGGAAGAAAAGTCATTATTTAAAAAGATTCAGTGTTAAGATAGAAAATTTGGAATCTTAAGGATTAGGTGTTTTTCATGCATACTTTTAATTTCAAACACTGTTCCATTTCCACAACAAATAGTTTCGACCAAGGACCACACATGAAATATCTTAGTCCCCAAACTTTTTCTTATGACATGAAAAAAAAAAGTCCTACTTGTGTAATGAAAACTGTCAACCTAACTTTGATAAATTAGTTTCTAAAGCTAGCAGAAAGTAACCAAGTATGACTTCTGTTGCCTCTGTTCTTCATATAGATCAACACAATAAACACACACACACACACACACACACACAAATCACTTAAATTCAGAAAAGCTAATGTTTTAAAAGTAAAGATTAGAGCAAAAAAACATTTTAATGTAAAAATATTCACAGGTTCGACACTTTACATGTGAATATCTAATTAGGCAACATGTTTAAAGTCTTGACAGTTTAAAATGTTTGTTATTGGTATGTGCCGTCGAGTCAGACCTCACTCATATAGAGACCCCTCCTTAGGTTTCCAAGGTAGTATCACTACGGAAGTAGATTGCCCAACCTTCCTTCCAAGGAGTAGCTGTGGGTTTGAATCTCCAGCCTTCTGGTTAGCAGTCAAGTGCCTTAGGCACTATGCTACCAGAGGTAGGTGTAATTAGTTGAGCATAATAAACTTGTGGCACAGTTGTTGGACCAGGTCTATAATAATTTTAAAATGCTAAAACAGTCAGAAGTTAGAGTTTTGCATGTGTTTGTTTTCAAATCAAGGAGCTCTGGAGGAATACTGCCTAAGGCATTTTGACTGCTAACCAGACAGTTGATGGTTCAAACCCACCAGCCACTCTGCAGAAGGAAGACTGAGCAATCTACTTCCGTAAAGATTTACACCACCTCGGAAACCCAAAGGGGTCGCTATGAGTCGGAATTGACTTGGTGGCAGTGAGTTTGGTTTTGGTTTGGTTTTCAAATCACGCATATGTGGTAAATGTAATGACATCTGTAAGATAAAAGAACTAAAGTTTTCTGTCTTTATCCTGTGGTTTAATCTGATGGGGGAAGGAGAGAAAGGTGATTATTGTTAGATATTAATTATTATTATTGAAGATAGAAAAGGATAAACCAAAGGGTAGGAAGGAACTATAAAGACTAAATGGTAGAATGTAGGGAATGGAAATGAAGGAAGGCTGTAAAAAAAAGACAAAAGTATAAAACCTTAGAGATGACAGGTCATGATGTGTATGTACTTACAGAAGGCAGTAGGGACAAGGCTTGTGCTTGGTTATTCTATCTGACTGATCTTAGAAGGAGCTTCTAAGTGGGTTCACTAGTAAAACTATAGAAGAATTACAGGCAACCGTGGATTATATACAGGCAGTCCCCAGGTTATGAACATAAATTCAACTCCTATTTGTTTTTTGTTGTGTTTGCCATCAAGTCAGATTCGACTCACAGCAACCCCTACTTGGGTTTCCGAGGTGGTACCACTACGGAAGTATATTGTCCAACCTTCCTTCCGAGGAGCAGTCAAATGCCTTAGGCACTTTGCCACCAGAGCTCTCATTTGTTTTTCACTTTGAAGGACTGAATCAACTCCTGTTTGTGTTGTTTGTAGCATAGTACCTTAGGCACTATAATACCAGAGCTCCTGAATCAACTCCTTCCCAAAACAATTTCTTCATCACAATCACTTTCATTTGCTGCACGTGCAGCTTTTAAATCACTGAAAAGGCTTCATATGTAGTTGTTCCAACTTATCCACAAATTCTACTTAAAGGCACACTTAGGAATGGATCTCATTTGTAACCTGGGGACTGTCTGTATTTCTAATCTTGGGGTGGGAAGGTGTTCCTAACTATGATAGGAAACCCAGATACTATGAAGAAAAAAAACTGATCTGATCATGTAAATATTAAAATTTTGGTATGGCAAGAATGTCTCTTCTCTGTGTGTGTGTGTGCTGCACACACACAAACACACTCATCCTAAACAAGATTTACAAGATTTGAAAGTAAATGACAAACTGGGAAAAAAAAAAGTATGTACTATATGAGAAACAGGTAATATTATACACATGCACATATATTCATCTTAAGTAAAAACCAAACTGGTTGCCATCAAGTTAATTTCAACTCATGGTGATCTCATGTGTGTCACAAGAGAACTGTGCCACTGACTTTTCAGTGTCTTATTTTTCAGAAGGAAATCACCAGGCCTTTCTTGAGGTGTCTCTGGGTGGCTAAAAACCTCCGCCCTATTTGTTAGCAGCCAAGTATATTAACTGAGCCACCAGGGACTCCATATTAATCTTAAACAAGATTTTAAAGACAAACGGGAAAGTAGAAATAACGTAGCATAAATAGCTAGTATTTTTATCATATAAGACTTTAATAAAGAAAAAGATGATGGATAATATAAAATGGGCAATGTATATACATAAAAAATAAAAAACTCATTCAAAAACGTAACATACAAGAGAAAACTTTGCTCATCAAAAGTATATAAAAGTGAAATTATTATTTAGAGAGGCAAAACAGATTGCCAATAAACAGTGCAGATTGAGGAGTAGAAGAATGAATTTTAAAATGAAATTGATGGGACTGTACACTGATTTTTAAAAAGACCCTTTTGGTGCATATCAACATTCTTCATATTCTTTGAGCTAACCATTTTACATCTGGGAATATATCCTAAAGGAAGTAAAAGCACAAGTACATACCAATGTATAAATAAGAATGTGTATCAAAGCATTGCTTTTCTTTGTGAAAAACTAAAAAAAATTTAAAAATCATGCACTAAGGATTGACTAAATTAAGTCAGAGGATGAAATACCAAGTGGCCATTTAAAGTTATGGATCTCTATATTCACTAACATGGAAAAATATACACAGTGTGTGAATGTGTGTGTAGGAGGGAACAAACATGCTGAAAAACAATACATAATCCCTTTTGGAAAACTGCATATATACATACATATAATAGTATATATGCATGTGTTTTAAAGGATGTTCACTAAAATAGGGACAAGTTAAAAGTGACTTTTCTCCTCCACTAATTTCTTATTCTTTTAATTGTTTTTCAGAATGCACCTGAATTCTTATAAAAAAAAACAAACACACTGCTGTCGAGTCGGATCTGACTCATAGTGACCCCCCCCTTGGGTTTCTGAAGCCGTATCACTACAGAAGTAGCCCAACCTTCCTTCCAAGGAGTGGCTGGTGAATTCTTATAGTCAGGTAAAAAACCTCTTCTCCAAAAAATATTTATAAGTCAATAGTAAAGTTGTCACTTTAATAATAACTGCCAGACTTTTTATTAGGCAGAAACTGAAAACAGCTTTTAAAAAATCCTCTTGTATGAAAGAAAGATCTCCCTATAACCTTCTAGCCTCACATCCTACTGTAATCCATACATTTCACAAAGCAGTAGCAAGGGCAGGAAAAGTGATAAATCACCAGTGAAAACCATATGGAAAATCATACATCCTTTTTAGTATTAAAAAGAACACAGAATTCTTAAATACTTCAGTATATGTCACTATAATCTAGTCCAGCATTTTCCAAATTGTTTTCCATTGGACATTAGTGGGCTGATTGATATCAAACATACAGGGGTAAAGAAGCAAACAAGCTAAGAATGTTTTAAAGGCTTCCATGTTATCAAAACTTTGACATAAAAACATCAAACATATTTATACAGTTACTTATTATTATAGGATAAAATGTATGTTAGAAATAGTGTGCCATTAGAGAACATCATGAAGATGAATGAGATCACATGACATATGAATACTTACCATTTCAATCTGTGACTGAGGCACAGGCAGCATTTATCATTCAACCACCGTGTTAAATGTCTTCTTTTTTTCTTGACTGCTGACTAGTTCCAAAATTATTTATCATATTCATATAGACATTGTATAAATATGCATTATATTTATCAAAAGAATATTTGGAAATTAAAAAAACAAACCAAATCCCCTGTCATCAAGTCAATTCCAACTCATAGTGACCCTATAGGACAGAGAAGAACTGCCCCACAGGGTTTCCAAGCTGTAAATCTTTACAGAAGCAGACAGCCATCTCTCTCTCCCACAGAGCAAGTGGTACATTTGAACCATCACCTTTTGGTTAGCAACCGAATGCATTAACCATCGTACCACCAGAGCTCCTTATGTGGACATTAAACCAAATCAAACCAAACCCTATGCTATCGAGTTGATTCCAACTCACAGTGACCCTCACTGGGTTTCCAAGGCACTAGATCTTACAGACACAGATTGCCTCATTTTCCTTGCACGGAGCAGCTGGCAGGTTTGAATCAAGCACCTTAGGCACTGTGCCACCAGAGCTCCATAAAATAATATAATTAGAAATTACACATTGATATGTTAAATACATATGTTGTATCCACGTATACTATATAAATAATTATATATTTCATTATCAAAATATGTGGTAATGTGGAAACTAGAATAGTATATTTTTATAACATGTATATTTAGCAATCCTATTTAGATAGAAAGATACGTAGGTAGACAAGAGAGAGAGCGACAGATACAGATACTGAGTAGTGCCGTGGTTAGAACATCGATGAGCCTGGCTCTTTTTGTTGACAGTTAATGCTACCTCACATCCAGCCCTATCATGAAAAAACTTGGTTAGCAAAGCAATGTGGATCATGACTAGATTCACAAGTAAATTAAATAAAGCCAGTAAAGGAAAGACTGAATCTCAGTATTAAAAATAAACCCTAAATGGGCAAACTCAAATTTTGTATATACTTATACTAACAAACGTGAAACATAACATTTTTTTCCTAAGTATCATTTTATTTCCCTCCCTCACTCCCAGTAAGGACCTTTAGTGTTAGTTTAGCTTTAAAGAAACAATATTCAATAACAACTCTTCTAACAGGTGATAATTTTTATACTTGGTTCTTTTTTGAAATATTCTGAAAACATACATTTAAAAATTTAAGTAAAACAAGTCTCTGTTTAATCACTCAATTGTAAGATATAACTATTTACTTAATCCTTTAATCAATATCAAAGGAGCTCTGGTGGTATAGTGGTTAAGGCATTTGGCTGCTAAGGAAAATGTCGGTGGTTTGAATCTACCAGCTGCTTTGCATAAGAATGATGACACAATTTGCTTCTGTAAAGATTTACAAAGTTGGAAATCCAATGAGGGCTGCTATGAGTCAGAATCGACTCAATGGCACTAAATTTGAGGGGTTTTTTTTTTCCCTTGATTAATCAATGTCAGGGCTACTAAAAATTATTCCGTACCAACTGTTTGTAAACCTCTGGAATACCACACAAATCAATTTCTGTTTCCTTAAAGGAATAAGCTTCTTAATAGTAATTAAAAATATATTTTAAAGGCTCTTACCCATATTGCAAGTTTAGCCTTATTTCCATCCACTGAAATGGTTTTCACCTTAAAGTCAACACCTTGAAGAAATGAAAATTTTGGTAAGTCTCCAAATAAAACAAACATTTTAAAAACAATTACCAAGAAAACCAGAAATGGAAAAATCACTTTATCAAATGCCCAAATTTCATACCCTAAACTTTTAGATATATGAATATAAAGATAAAAGAAAGAGTGTAGCTTAAGTTAAGCAGGTTAAGATTTAGTCAAGTTTAATGAAAATCAAGTGTCTGTAGGAGTGCAATACTTACCTACCTACATATACTTCCTCCAAAAAAGGGGAAAAAAAAACCCTCAATTTAAGGTGATGACTAGCCTAGAGCTGGGATTCACAGTGATAATGTAGAGAAAACTACATAAATCTCGCTGATTTATGAATCAGGAAAACTTTGCAGCTCATACTGCAACACAAGCTGGGGGGGGGGGGTTCCCCATGAGTCTGAATCAACTTCATGGCAAGTAGTTTTGGTTTTGGTTCTAAGCACTCTACACACTATTGTGGGAGGGTTGTCCAGGACCAGCCAACCACTAATTCAGATCCCAACTGTAAGCCTGCAGGAGTAGTACAAATATGAAAAGATCTCTTAACTCCTTGTCTCTATGAATTATTTCCATTGTTCGATTTAATCCTAAAACAGTGTTGTTGTTGTTGTTATGTGCCGTAGAGTTGGACCCAACTCACAGCAACCCCTCCTTGGGTTTCCGAGGCAGTATCACTACGGAAGTAGATTGCCCCATCTTCCTTCCGAGGAGTGGCTGGTGGGTTTGAACCGCCAGCCTTCTGATTAGCAGTTAAGTGCCTTAGCCACTATGCTACCAGAGCTCCTAAAGCACAGTGTTAGTTTTATATAATATAATCAATGATCATTTACTACTGCATAATTAAAAAATAGAATTTAGACAAAAAATAAAAATCCCTTTAAGTAAAAAAAAAAAAAAAAAAAAAAAAAAAGGTGCTCAATGTTCTATGAAAAACTTTTGGAGTACCAATTTATGTAAAGAAAGGAAGAGCTTCACATAAGGTTTACCATAGCAGCCCGAAAAACCTCTCCCTTTCCAGGAAAGAAGTTGACACATGTCATCTGGCTTAAATAAACAGTAACTGCCCACATGTCTTTAAAGAGTATCAAAAATAATGTGTCATCTATCCCACTGGCCAAAGGGAAAACACTAGCTCAAGAAGCTTGGAAAGAAACTTTCAAAAGATCTTGTAAGCTTGTCACAATTAATTCAGATATGGCCCAACTAAGATGAACAGCTTTCTTACTATACAAAATGCTTAACAGAACACCTGTCAGCAATATGGGAATGTATTAGTAATTCTTGGATGAGTTCTGGTGATCCATTATATATACAAATTAGGTAATGAAAATGCATACTCAAAATGTGCATTATGCCAGATCTTTCTGTATCCCAAAGATTAAAGAAAATTTTTGGTGTTTTGGGCCGTGCTGATATTAAAGCCATGCCTAAAACGACTGGATAATCACCAGTTAAGTGAACACTGATGATTATACAGCCCAAGGAAAGAAAACCTAGGAGCTCTGGTGGCATTGTGCGTAAGGTATTTGACTGCTAACCAGAAGGCTGGCGGTTCAAACCCACTAGCCATTCCTTGGAAAGAAAGTTGGGCAACCTACTTCCATAGTGATAACAGCCAGATGACCAAAAAAAAATCTCACATACTAAACAAGTTTGTATTCAGTAAAAATTGTATCATTTAGAAAGTAGACCCATACCTATCTATAAGCAACATGAACTTATTTACATGCTCTTAAAAAAAAAAAAAAAACCACTAAATTCTGATAAAGGAAATAAATGGTTCACTTGTCTTTAAGGTGGAAGTATTAAATGAAGTCTTTGGTAGACACTGCCTGTCTTGTATACACTACAGTTAAATTCTTGAGGTTTTTTTTTTTTTTTTTTTTAATTAATAGCCCCAGACAACACACTCAACAGCAGACTGGCCTCTTTGCTAGCTACCAGCTAATCAGTTTACCCAAGAAAAGAAAAATGAAACCCACTGTTCCCAGAATGTCTGTTTTCCTGCTGTCCGCCCTTTGACAATTTATCTCTGTCATATAAGAAATCTGCATGTGGATAACTAAGTAACTGTCTCCAACTTAGTCTTTTGACATTTTATATCTAGAAGCTCTAGATATCACCCGCAGGACACACTGCCCACCAGAGTCTTACCATCAAAGCCAACAGATACATGTAGCCTGAAAGAGCACCACATCTGCATCTAGATCCCTGAAGTCCCCCCATCCATCTTCCCTTGGTTCCTCTGGTGATCTCAGGTGCAGCAACTGAGCTCAACTGTTTCTTGACCAAGTTTTGTTTTTCTGTTTTGCAAGTTGCCAATAATGTGTCTTCAGAGGTGACAACTTTAAGAGTCTTTTTGATATTTTTGATTTTTGCCAACTTCTTACCAGATTTGAGTAAACCATTTTTCAGCCTCTTCATGTGGCTGACAAAGAGCTCATAACAGAATTGGAACAAATGTCATCTCAGCTCTTTTCTTGTTGTTCATTTTGCTTGCATTTTAAATACAATCTGTAATTCAATTCCTTTGCAAGAATCTTTTTTTGGGCAACACTTGCCTATTTCATGGCTCTGGTGGTACAGCATTTGGCTGCTAACCAAAAGGTCAGCAGTTCAAACACACCAGCTGCTCCATGGGAAAAAGAGGAGATAGTCTGCTTCTGTAAAGATTTACAACCTTGACAACCACATAGGGTAGTTCTACTCTGCCCTATAAGGTCAACTCGAAGGCAGTGAGTTTGGTTTGTTTTTTGCTGTAGTTAAAACTAGACAATCCATAAAGCCTTTAAGCAAGTAGTTAAGTAGAACATGAAAATTTTTTAAAGATAATATGAACTCAACCATAAAAAGATATTTATAACAGGAGACCAGAATATATCAACAGAAACATTTGCCTTATTAAGGAAGAGAAAAATACATCAACATAGTCAGACTAAGAACTGGCATAGATGTCAGAATGAGCAAATGAGGACATTAAAAATAAAGAATTCCAGATTTTCAAAAGTTAAGTAGACATTTAAGGTATAAAAAGACTCAAATCAAACTCTGAGAGATGAGTCCAACACTGGATGTGTTAACAGCAGATTAGACACTGCAGAAGAAAAGACTAGTGAATTGGAAAAATAGCAATAGAAAAACCATCCAAAATGAAACACAGAGTGTGCATCAGTGAGTTATGGAACAACTTCAAACAGCCTAATATATAAGCAATTCAGAGTCCATGAAAAAGGAGGAGGAAGGGACAGAAAATATACTTGAAGCAGTAACAGCTGAAAAAATTCAAATTTGATGAAAATTATAAATCTACAGATCCAAGCAGCTCAATGAGCCTCAAGCACAAGAAATGTGAAGAAAAACATGCCAAGGAACATCATAATCAAAATGCTCAAAAAGGAAATGAGGAAGTACTGAGCTCAGTATTTAATGAAAAGAATGGGGAATGCCACTAAAGCAATACTTAGAGGACATTTTATAGCATTAAATATGTATATTAGAAAAGAAAAATGATCTCAAACCAAGGCTTCCACCTTAAGAAACTAGAAAATGCACATTGAGTTAAATCCATAACAAGCAAAAGAAAGGAAATTATAAGTTCAGAGAATAAGTTAGTGAAACACAAAATAGAGAAAAAATAAACAATGAAAACAAAAGGTGGTTCTTTAAGAAAAAAAATCAATAAAACTTTTAAGAAAAAAAATCAATAAAACTTACTTGTACCCAAACTGAAAAAAGAGAAGATATAAAAAGCTATCAAAACTGACACAAGGGCTTCTGGTAAGATGGCGGAATAGGCAGAAAGACTGCACAGACCCTCTTCAACAAAGAAAAGGGGAATCAATTAACACAGACACAGAAGATAATCCTGGACCCCTGAGAGAAGTGGACTAAACCAAAATTAGCAGAAGAATTTGCATGAAAATACCAAAAAAGGAGACATATGGAGCTGCAGTCTGGAAGCGATCCTGATGGCCCAGCACAGACAGCTTGGAGAGTGCCGAGTGGTGGTAGGACCTAAGACTTAACCTAAAAACCAGCCCTGCTAGCCAGAGATTGCACAGAGGACTGCTCTGGTAGCTGGGGAATAAAAGGCAAAGCAACAGAGAAGAAGGCGGGCTAAGCTGTGGACTTTTGGCTGTCCAGAAACGCAGCCATTTTGAATGTTTACAAGCAGCTTAACCATTTTGGATATTTAAAGAGACAGCCCTCTCCCAGATTCCAGGGGCTTACAAACAGGTTCTTCTTGCCAGTAACCCCAAGGACACCCTGGACCTGGACGACTGAAAAGGTGCGTCATTCCCTTTGTTACTCTTACACCCCATCCACCTTGGTGAATGGAAGTGCGGCCTACCCCACTCCCATCCACCTTCTTGGCCCACAGGAACTCCATCCCAGTCTGTGTGCTGAGACGGAGGCTGGGTGCCCCGCCACACCCTTCCCCAATTTTTTTCTTTTTCTTTGTCTCTGGTTTATAGTTTGCTTGTTTTTGTCTGTTTTAAAATTACTATTATTATTAATATTTTGTTCCTCTTACTATTGTTATTCTTTATTCTTCTCCTCACAGGTCCTAGTTTTCAGCTCTTTTTCTTTCCCCTGTTCCTGGTTGTAAAAACTTTTTTTTTTCCTTTTTTTTCTCATGATTAACCCCGTTCCTTGTTTTTCTTTTCACATTTTTCCCATTTTTTTTTTTCTTTATTCTCCTTCGCTACCTTTTGTATCTTACTGCCCTATCCCCAGACATTGCAGGTTTTCTTATTTTTTTCTTCTTCTTTTTCCCTTTTTTTGGTTACTATTCCTGTGTGAATAGATGGTATATTTTTTGTCCATGTGCTTTTAGTTATTTCATGGTTATTCAATTGTAATTTTTGTCTAACTAAGCGGGAGACAGCAGCAGTCCCCATAAGACACAACTACGGCTACACATTCTGCAACTTCACTTACTGAGCAAGAGCCACCACCTCCTTATCCACCAGTGGGC